AAACAATAGAATACTTAATTCGTAACTACTGCGATTAAAAAAGGAATATCTACTCTAATTCAGTCCATGGAGAATCATGCACGGTCTCGAGAGAGACTATTGGAACCAGCATGTCCATATGATTTTCAGTAAAATCATCTGCTCCTTCAACTTCGTTCTGATCCAGCCACTCTAAGCCGTTGGCACTTGCGCACAGTAACTCATTAGTTCGTTTTGTGACAATCCGTGCGGGTCGTACTTTGCGCAATATACGCGCTTGCTTAGCTGGTGCAATGTGGGCTGCACGCCTGTGCTCTGCAGCTCTTGTGATAGATGCAAAGTAAATACCGCATGTACTACAGCATCTTTTTTCTAAATCATCATGTATACTTTACGGTTGAATCGGTAGGCAGTGGCGTATTAGAAATGGAGCAAATGACTTTCCGTCATGCTCTTTAAAGTCCGGAATTGTCAAGTGTCCATCGACCTGAGTGATAGGGTATGGAGGTGACAGAAAACGGTCGTGAAGAATCATATGTAGATCATATGAAGAATCGAGTAAAACATATGCAAGAATAAACAAAGCAGGTTGGAACCTGTCCGTGTGCCGCTGCACTCAGCTCGTACGCTCTCATTCATCGAGTCACACGTTCAGCTGACAGTGGCGCGAATACAAAGGACGGGCTACATTGTACCGTTAATTCAAATTAAATTGAGCTATTTGGTATAAAACGAGTATAGTGGTTTGACAATCAGGAGTGATGTATAATGTCAAAGTACGAATGAAATTATTTTCTTTCCAACGAATTAGTGAATGATCTTAACCTTAGACTTGTCACTCTATGAGGGATTCCCCGCACCGAGCCTTATTTTAAAAATTGCGTGATATTTACCGAGACCCCCCCTATCTCCAACGTGAGATTAGATGAGATTTGACTCGACTCCCTCCCCCCCTTAAACATCTCACGTAATTTATGGACGCCCCCTTAGGTACAAGGAAGTTGACTTTTTGTGCTTAAATGGTAAACTTTATTAATGCAGGTTATCAGCCCACCTCACTAAGCATCGTCCAGTGCGTGGCCGCATTTTTAGAACCTTTGCGCCCCAACGGCTCCATTAGCCGTTTCTCTTTTCATTTTGTGTGCCATCCACTACTACTTCAATTAAACAACAACAGTTAAAAATCTTCAATTGAATGCTAAAAAAACGAAATGTACAAAATTCACTTTACCTCATGTAAAAGTAGAACCAACTGAAATTGACTCAACAACGAAAATTTAGAGTTAGTAAGTTCAACAAAGTTTTGGGGCATAACACTAGATTCAAAACTGCAATGGAACCCGCATATTTCTATATTAGCTGGTAAACTCAGCTCGCCTGCATATGTCATACGAAAAATAAGACAAATTACCGACATAGAAACTGCCCAGACAGTGTACTTAAGTTATTTTCAAAGTATCATGTCCTATGGCATTATATTCTGGGGATCGGCAGCCGATATTCATTCTATATTTGTTTTACAAAAAAGGGCAATAAGAGCTATCTATCAGTTGGGCTCGCGAATATCTCTTAGAGAGAAATTTCAAGAAATTGGAATATTGACGGTTGCATCTCAATTTTTATATAGTTGTATACTTTTATTTTGGAACAATATTTATGTGTATACCAAGCATAGTGATGCACATAAACTTAACACTAGAAATAAAAACAAGCTAGTAATGCATTCTTACAGGTTACAGAAGGTATTAGGTTCTTTTATGGGTCAAGGTATACAATACTTTAACAAGATCCCTAGTGATGTACTAGATTTGCCAATGAATTATTTTAAAAGTCATATTGAAAATTGTCTACAAAGTAAAGGATATTATATTAAGGAATATCTGAATGACAAAAAGGCATGGCGTTAGATATTTTAACTTTATTGTATTTACTTTCTAATATTGTAGTGGAAAGTGACTCCATATTCTAATGAAGTCACTTTTAAGAGACTTCTCTGTGTGAAATAAAACAGGGAGAAAAAAACAGCCCTTGCTGAGTTTCTTGCCGGTTCTTCTCAGTACAAGGTCTCCCGCCGTAGTTTTGCGTACCGATGGCGTAGTTTTCGACTTTCACAAGTGCTCTGTAAAAGCCTAAACTGAATAAATAAATTTTGATTGACTTTTTTATTTTTTTTTTAAAGTCATATAACTACCTAACATTGGTTTTTACGGAACTCCTCATTTCTAGTTCGGTTGCGCAAAAAAATACCATTGCTCTCTCCGTTGCTCGCATGGTCACGTCACCCTGAGGGTAAGGTGCGCATATCTTAAGCAAGATGTATATATCAACCTCTCTTTGGTATTATTTTTCATTTTGACAGCACACAGCATTTTTGAAGTAACTAACTGTTAATTATATTGTTTTTTATACCGTGTTCTGTTGTGTGTTGATAAACTAGATGCTTATTATTATTATTCTGGTATTTGACCTTTTGAACATTCGCACTAATGCATACGTTCGTGGAACTCTTAATAATAAAATAATAATAAATAAATATTAGGCATCACATAAATTGCTCAAATTTCAAGATGATTAAGCTAAAGCCCCCGTATTATGGAGTATCTGAGACAACAAAGATTGAGACAACAAACTACAACACTCAGACCCAAGAAATTAGAGAAAATATAATTTTCTACACTGATCCGTCCGGTAAATCAAACCCTCGGAGATGGCGACACCTTGTAACCGGCGTGCGAACCACTCGGCTACGGAGGTCATTATGGATCTTCCGTCAGATCTAAACCGACACAAATTTTGACATTTGTGTTTGATACCAGTTAAATAAAATAATCGCTTCGATAATTTTTTAGGCATCACTCTCCGACAGAAGGCGCTTAATTTGATCGTGGAATTCTGGCTTCCTCCGCCTTCTGCAACCTGCCAGTTTCGTGTCGTATGTTTCATCACTACATCATTCGGCAAGAATTTTATCAATTAAACATTGTAGATATTTTTATGTTCAAAGAGTAAGAAATGTATAGAGACGTATGAGTAGGTATTGATTTTATAATCAACGATCCATTGTTCACTCGTAATACCTTTTTATTATTCGAAGCCTGCCACCATTTGGTTAATGTTAGCGTATTTATTTATTTAATATTCGATGATTTAAATGGATGATTGATGAGATGACAGATTAATGTTTGCACTAAGTATAATATTATATTAGACGCATTTAGAGTAAAACGATGATTGTATTACAAAGACTTATTTTCAGCTATACGAAAATATTACGGAAATTTCTAATTTGAAATTCTTTAAAAAACTGGCGAAGTGTGAGTGTGTAATATTATTTATGAAAAACAAAAAAATAACACATTTTATAATATTTTATTATAATGGCAACTTTAATCATCACTGAAAATTTCAACTGTACAGTTATTACGGTTCATACATCACAAACGGACAAATGGTCCGGTAGGGTACGTAAGCCTAAAAATCAGCGTAGAACTCAATATGAGAACAACCACAGACATAACATAGAAAAGAGGTTCTGTGTTCTGTGATTATAACGCTGAATCGAATAAAACCGAGTCGAAAAGGTAATAGAGGTTTTATTTGATTGAAGCTTTATGGTGCGACAGCGTTGTACTGATTTTTTACAGAACAGCAAAACAGTATCGATGGTCACATAGCAGATGCGGCAAGCAAACTGGAACGATGCGCCATGTCATATACATATAGGTTTTAGGGTCGGTCGGGTGGATTATTAAAGTTTTAAACACGTATTTTTTTAAGTAATCAATGAAATACGACGATATATTGAGTTGAAATGTCATATGAGGTCACATTTTTGCACATTTTCTACACAATTGTGACGTAGCGAGCTCCTACTCCTCAACTGTAATGCCTATTATCTAAGCTAATATGTGCTTTTCTATTTCTATTATCTAATTGACTTGATTTCTGTTTTTGTTTTACTCAGTCATTATCCCTATTGTAATAAATACGTTTTGAAAACGCATAATACAGTTTTCTTGTTATCCATGTATCAAAAAATATATTGTGCTTATATGGCATTCCACGGCTGAGAACAATGTTTTATATTCTGAGTAAAGTCTGTAGTCGGTCGTAAGCGATAAATAATAAATATATATATATATATATAATACCAAAAATTGACTTGAAAACTTTACAATTCTTGATTAAATCATTTAGGATATATTTAGAATTCTTTAGTGTGTTTGGTAAATTGTTTTAGAATGCGTTGCCGCTTCCTATAGTTTTCGATGTCATCATGATAGAGTGCTTATTTGGGTTGGCTCTTTTTCCTATGTTAAATACTAGAACTTCATACGTTATTTCAATCGATCATTCACTGAACGAACGCTCCCTCATTTGCAGATTGCATCTCGTTGCGACATGACAGTGAAATTTAAACCTTTGTCCCACTCACACAAATGAAAGTATTTGTAGTAGATCACTCGACGGTTTTTCTGTGAAAATACGAGAGATATGTCTCCGACACTCGTTTATGATTGTTTGGGTGAGGAGATCTTATGCTGTAGAAAAGTGAATCTTATAACAATGTAATAAATCACAGTGATCGTCAATTGTGCAATGCAAAGGCTTCGGCGGCAGCAGCCTGCGAGACGCCCGGCGCTACATCGTACGTACACGCTTACACCCGACCAACTTACATTTACTATCAAAAAAGGGAGTCCCGATACGTAGTCTCTGGTGATTAGATTCATTTTCCTACAAATCTTTACGATTTAGCTGTAAAATAGAAACTTCATGGGCAGCGTGAACGTTACTGGGACACGATCGCGATATGGGTAAGGTTGTAAGGTTGCCAGCCCGAAAAGGAAATTCCATTAACAATATTAGCTCCCTATTGAGGTACCTTATGATCAAGATTTTATTTTGAGATGTAAAATTTCAAAGAGATGATTGAGATGTAAATTTTTCAAGTAAAATTATGATGTTTTCCTAAAATATTTCGATCTTAATTTATTTGAATGGAAATAAAATTTTGGAAGTTATTGGTACAGATTAATAAAATTTTCAAAAAAGTGGTTCTCAATAGTTCCCATAGTGTTTTGTATCGCGGCAACCCTCGTTGTGGCGTCGGTGCATGGTGCGCATGCGTGTGCGCGCGCACGGTCGATAGCCGGCGTCGGCCGAGCCGACAGTCCGCGCCGCGCCGGGCTCCGTACGCCCGCGCCGCCCGACATGAGGGCGAGTGCGCTGCCCGCTCTGCTCACAGCGTTGCTAGCCGCGACGCTCAGCCATGCCGAGAAGAGCAAGTTCTGTAAGTACCGCTTAAGTAACTCATTTTTAGCGAGCATACCTGTCAAAATATAATCCTCAGAAACATCTAAAGAAGCCCGCCTTACTTCTATTGAAGTACGCGGTACGAGGCGACCCCTAAATTTCTGTACTTACCAAATAAAAATCGATTTTCAAACTGTCTACAGCTTACGACGTGTTAGAAGATGTAATTTCATCATTTGAAGCAATTTTTCATTCATGAAGTTTCAGTTTAATGAACTTCGAGGTTTAACTAGGTTATTCGAAGCGAGGCTCGCTATATACAATTATGTTTTCTTTTACACTGCATCGGAAATAGGTCACGGAGACAATAGTAGTAAATGGAGTAAGCAGCCTCGTACTAGGGTGGTCTATGTGTGGGTGTAATTTGGTATTCAATTCATTACGTTCTAGTTTGGGAACACTTATTCTTATATTTGTGTCACTCTCCCCCTAGCGATGAAGCCTCCGAGTTTGTTGAACATTATCGATATATTTACTAATAACTCTATAGGCATAATCTGATTTGAATGGGTTAATTTAGAAAATGTTTCGAGTAATGGTTCAAGTTGTAATGCCATAAATGTTGAGACAATCAAAATAATGGATAATATGATAACAGTTATAATATTAATAAGATGTTTTGTTAGTTTAAATCTAATTACTGAAGTATTTGTTTATCTTTTGCCAACCCTCCGACAATTTGTTGGCAATTTTGTCGACGGGGCCTGGTCCCCCGCAGTGCCTCGGCCCTCCAGCCAATAGGAGTGTCTCCCCAGGGGTCAATTTAAACGATTTGTCAACGGCCACCTGCGCTCGAACAGGGAAACTTGAGCTCGCGGAGCTGGCCGCTACAGATATCTCATTTGGCAGACCAAAAAAGGCTGAGAGTTTTTCTTCTGATGGCATTTTGCCTAGATTAGCCACGAGTAAAAGAGATCCATGGCCACCCCATCTAAGTACAGCTATTGCATCTCCCAATCGTTTGATCTAGAAAATCAAGCAAAATAAATACCTTATTAAATGGTCACAGATAACAAACAAACAATAATGTTTATAAGTAAAAATATTTGTATTTGCACATTTAAATCGTGGTTGAGTAGAGGTCGTAGTTTATCAAAAATGATTAATGTTGTTTTATTTCCCAAATAAACAAATTAATAATCTTAAGGACAGAAATAACGACTTACTTCAACATGTGGCCCCATAGCTGGAGATTTTCTCATTGCAGCGGCCACTTTTAATACTCCTGCGTGACTATTATCGTTAACAAATTCAGATTTAGCATTTGCATATCTATAGTTGGGAGCTAAGGGTAACCAAGGCTCTCCGCTAGTGAAGCCTCCATTTGCGGCGTCGCTCCAAGGAAATGGTGCTGATGACGGTAGTAGCCTACTTGGCCAGCATGTGGCATTGGAAGAGGCCCATTCCAGGATTGTATCTGCTACTCCTAATTCATCTCCTTGTTGTATTACCGCCGCTCCTGGTAACATCAATGCAAGGAGATTTATAGCATCCACACTGTCGCCGCCATATCGTGTTGTTATTCGGCTTTCATATGGCATGCTTGTCTGAAAAGGAAAGACGAAAAATATTTTTAAATGGTTTTGATAAGCTTCAATTCATTATAACATTGCTGCAGTCTTTCTAGACTCTGCTTGTGAATGAATGCTGTGTATTGAGATGATGAAGCTTTTGGGAGATTTAATTATCGATTTATTAAAGCACCTGTTGTTAAAATACCTAAATAAATAACTTACTGTCCATGTGGGAAACGAATCTCTTGGAGTATATAAGAGAGTGGCATGAATTGATAATGCTAATCCGGGCGACGACTGTTTAGTTGGAAACGTCAAAGCTGTACTCAGAACACTGTTCGCCCCCACTCCCCCATCGCCATAATATTTGCTTGCGTTTTCAGCATCGAGGGATGATTCAACGAGTATGACTCTAAAAATTAAACTAACTGTTTTGCATAAAATTTTCCATAGAGCGGTTTAAAATAAGGATTTGATTTTAAGAATTGTAGCTACTAAGAAATATGTATCTTTGTGCATGTTATCTGGTTTTACTTACGGAATCTCCAAATTAGACGATCTTGCACAGATTATTGCCTCAGCAGCCATTTTTTGTACCAATTTCCATGCACAATTTTGATCATATTCATAATCGGGATTGAGTAAGACGCCCGAGAAACCTCTTCGTAGCCAAGCACATTGAGCTGAAGCCAGAGCAGCTGCTACTGCTTCGGAACATAGATTCAGGATTGCTTCATTATCACGTACTCCATAATATGCAGCTCTGTTTTCGTGCCAAATCCAATCGTCGATACCGTTTTGAAGCTGAAAATGTAAATTTAGTTTCAAAGCGGAATTGATAAATCGAATAACGCATTAACCTGTTTTTCGAGTATTGCTATATAAACGACGTTAACGCTTACACAATCCGAGTTATTCATACATAATTCATTAAACGTCGCAGATCGTTTCACAGAAAATCATTAAATATTTCTTTTGTGACTGATAGGTACTACACACATGATTTATAATTTCTACGATAAAATATAGAAAAAATAGACATTTATATTTTATAAACTGAAATATACTTTAAATAATGTTATAAAAATAATGAAATATAAATCGTGCCGAACATCTAAAGCAGTGGCGTAGCGTGTCTTGGCGGGGCCCCGTATAATAATTTGTTTGGGGGCCCTTATGAAGGGTAAAGATTTCTCACAAATGGAAAATAAATGTTTTATTAAATGATAATAATTATTATTATAAACTGTGCTAATTTTTATGCACATCGATTATTGTGAGATTCCCCGTTGAAGTAAATGACTTAAACGGAGAAATTCCCGGAGTCTGCGAAAACCGATGTATGGTTTTGCCAATTTTGAAACGCATGCTTTACTTGTTTCTTTTTTACTTTTGTCATTTCTGAAATAAATCCCCCTCGCCCGGGGGCCCCATATAATTGATACGGCAGATACGGTGGTAGCTACGCCCCAGATCTAATGCGATGTTTGGCCGAGTTTATGCTATTTGCTACCGCGGCTTTTTATGTCCATTATTTGACTTACACTTGAATACCTACCGGTGGTATATCGTTACCGGTCCCATCTTGCCAAACTATTCTGTCTTCGTAACCGACAATCTTATCAGCACTCGAATTAAAACATTCGGACGCAGTGCTGATTGTTTGTAAAGGTAAGGAGATCACCACCTTTAGTTCTGAAAAAAAAAAAATTGATCCGCATTGACCCTATGAAAAGCCTGTTGTTTTTATGACAAACTGTAATAATTTAAAAATGCATTATTCTATTAAACCTCAATTTACATATTTCGTATTTTGCATGTAATATTATGTTCTACATTACAATGGAATGGATCATATAGCAATAAGTATACTTTATAATCTAACAGCCAAGTTAGACGTACACATTATTTGTACGTAAAGTAATAAATTAAAATAAACTTACCTAGCTTATTGACTTTCTCCAGAAAAGCATTAAGAGTATTAAGAGTGCCGTATCTTACATCAATTTCTGCTAAATCTATGACTCCAGGCTTGGAGCAGTCGGTGCTCTTAACTGATAAAGGAGACATTATTACAGCATCTGCCCCCAAAGCTCGAACATAACTTATCTGCTTTGTGGCTCCTGTTCGAAATTGTGAAGCTAAATACATAACAGCTTGCTGAATCTTTATGTCAATAATGAACGTAAATACGAGTAAATTAAATTGATAACCACCACCAGCCCTTTTACGTCCCCACTGCAGGGGCTCAGGCCTTCCTTATGGATGGTTAAGGAGGATGGGCCATGACCCTCCACGCTGGCCCAATGCGGATTGGAGGGTATTGATGACTGCAAATGCAGCCGGGACCAACGGCTTAACGTGCCTTCCGAAGCACGGAGTAGCTCGAGATAATAATTTTTTTGGTCACCCATCCCGTGACCGACCCTTGCGAAAGTTGCTTAACGACTACGATCGCGGGCCGCGGCGTTTATCCACTTCGCCACCGAGCTACTCTCGGCTAAAAGCTAAATCGAGCTAAATTGATAACTAATCTTACTAAATAAAAGAATATTTATAAATATTCCTTCGTTTTCATATCGCATTTTAATGAGGTTTTTTTTAATTGTTAATTGATAGCTTGACTGTTGCTTTCTTTATTATTTATGTCAGATATTAAAATGCATAGTATACTGTTTTTTTGTAGTTCGTAGTTTTTGGTTAATTATCATGGTTAAAGTATAAGAATCTTACCATTCAAATCACCTAGTCCATCACTATCCGCGTCTTTGAAGGAATCCAGCAATATCCTGTAGTAGACTGCTGTATTCCACCAGGGAGGCTCTCCCACGATGAACTTGGACAATGTCAACAGTAACAGAACAATCCACATGATTCTGAAGACTAATAAAATCATACTGAATAAATTAAGTGGCTTCGAGGTTATAGTGAGGGGAGTTATCAGTAGAATTATTTTTATGCGTTGTATTTTATTTAGATTAGGATGGTTGGTCAGGATTTCAAAATTGTTGGATTTCATTATGTGTGGAACCGTTAAATTTCAATTTTGCTAAAACTAATTAAATGCGTATTTATCAGCTTAGGAGCCGCGGTGTAATTTAAATGAATCCTCTTACGATTAAATCCCTGATACGACAAATTGATATCGTCGCAAAATGTTGCTTAGAAGTTCCATTTTTGAATCATTCGTCGTGCGTCGAGCGCTCGTTTATTACATGTTTTCATTCAACATAAGTAATTACTATATTTGGTTCCCTCGATTGCAACGAGTGCTATCAATCATTTGCCTCTAGATGAATGATCTCCAGTGATAGATGTCAACGTACAGATTGCAACATTTTTAAAACTAAATAAGGTTACGTTCAAGCTATTACAAGTATTACTTTATTTCGCTTATAGACACGCACACATACACGTGCACATACATTCTGCAAATATTGATGCATATGAGACAAATAACTTGGAAGTTTTAAAGCAACAAATTTTTTTGCTGTTTTTATTTTTCTGCGTTTATCGAATAAAATTCAACATTCAGTACTATGTTGCCAGGAAAAAAATAAACATTTCAAAAGTGCAGAAAAACAGTGTCATGTAAAAATCTAGTATGACTTAATTCTTAGCGCAATCTGCCATCTAGGCAGCAGGATTTTAAACGAGCGATTCATAAATTGGGCTCCTGACGAGGTCACCGAGACCTTTGTTTCAGCCATTAGTATCTCGATAAAACATATATAGCAGAGGCTCTATCTTACTTACTCTGTCCCTTGATTGAATACTTACACCTCGGGTGTCGGGGTCGCCGGGGACCAATGAGGGCTATCCTTCTATTTTATGACCCTGCTTAAAGTCCTCATCTCGTTCAAAGGAGATTATATTACCGTCCATGTATTCTGATATTACAGTGTTTGTTTAATGTTATTCACGTAGTTCACAATTATACTACAGGACTGTCAATGTTTAAGTTGAAAACGCCTAATAGATAGTAACAGCAATAGGATGATGACTAATTTTTGTTTATATGTCGGGTAGATTATAGAATTTTTACTTACTGTATAATCAATAATTTACAGCGATACGTTGAGTTGAAATGTCGCAAGATGTATACGTATACCAGTGTGCGTATCGAGCATCCACTTCTTAACTTTAATGCTTATTATCTAAGCCATTTCTTGTTAAATAGAAGCAAAAACAGTATATGTCTAATATTTTTGTATTATATGACTGGTGGACTAAATAGAATCTCTCTTTTAACCTAGATATCATCTCTATTACTATCCATAAGGAAGGCCTGAGCCCCTGCAGTGGGGATGTAACAAGGCTGGTGATAGTGGTGATCATCCCCATTCACTGAAAAAAAATTCTGAGTTACTACGCGCGTGTTAAGATAAGTAATATGCTGTAATCGATTCCTGTGGCTATCCACTTTTATGGCATTACAAATATTTGTCTCGTGTATTATATTTGGATGAAATAATGTGTAATCCATCACTAGTTAAGCGGAAGTGACGCGATCTTTACGGGGCCGTCTGTGTGCGGACAAATTATGGAGTAAGCCTCGTAATAACCGGCTATTATGGCTCGTTCATAATCTGCCATTCGAGTCATGTTAATTTGACAGAAACCTTCAATAAATGACACATCTATATAGTATTTTTCATTATGATGCATTAGTAGCTTCGGATTTGTCACTTATCCTAATCCTTGCAACGGATTTAGATGAGGTTTTCACAATTGAATGGGAAATTTGTTGAGGTAAAATTATCGGCCGTTACCACAAATATGTACAGATCGTTCTACCTATAATTTAATCTTTAATAACAGCATCCCTAACAAAATTTGCTAAGTCATTACCGGAAAAGATTAAAAAAAAGTCTCTGATGTTTTAATAAGAATTCGTAAAAATATGTACCAGGGCATCACGATCCCTTAGAATGTAGACGTAATCCATCACCAGTGCGACGCCGCCGTGTCTCGCTTCTGTTGAACACACTGTATAATACAGCCATTATGCTTGCCTAGTAATTTTAGTCGGTGCGCTAGAAAGAGACAGAATACGTATATAATACTTATATAAATAATCAAATTGTGTTTACTTCAAATGCCATCGCCATGATGGATTGACTGTGACTTTCATTAATAAAGTATTTATCAAAAGCTTTTAGGGCGATGACTTCCGATGTCACGTCGATTAGATATTTTTGTTGGAGTATTTACTCATTTATCATTAATACCTAAATATTTGTAGCGTAGGCCACATTCATACTGATTGAAATTATGAAAATCAAAGTAGGCAGAGGGCATTAAATCTTGATGTAAAAGCTTTTAAACAAGCCTGTTATCGACGTTTTTTACCAAGGTACTTCGAATCAGTTATTATTTGTATAAAGTTTTTGGTATAAAGGTTAGATGATAAAACCTTAAAAATATATGTCGCATCATCATTACGAAGATCGTTTGATTTAGTTTCTTTTATTTTAATTGCTAGTTACTCGATTACGTAATTACTCGATTCTAGAGAGATCGTGATGATCGATACTTTTAATTTTATTAGAATGGTGACACTGACTCTGACAGTTCGTTAACAAAAAGCAAATTGCCGCCATTTTGGCACACATTCTGTTTCCGATCGCCGAGGAGTAAAGACATCCGACGACATCACGCTCATCTCGTCATATTTTCGTATGAAAAGTGATAAAATGGATCAAATCCACGTTGGTATACACGCCTGCAGTTTTATTTTAAAGATAGTCCTCCGATATGGACGATCTATTTGGGCTTCGTAATAGCCCATTCAGACTACCCGCCGTTATATATATCATAGACATTTTTTTTTTAATTACAATCTACAATATGGAAATGTCACTTTGAACAATTGATCCAACTTAAACCATTCCGGTGACCTGCAGGAATAAAGCTTATTTCAATTTTAATAAAGGCATCGTTTGCCTATAAAAAGTCCTTCAAAACATCTATAATAATAATATAAGATTCATGTGTTTAAGCTTTGAATTAGAATTTCTTTGAGAGATTCAGGCAACCCTTGATCTACATTATTGGCACACACTAGAAACCTACTCTACCTACTAGAAGCTACTCGGTATAAAAGACATATTTTCAAGTTCCTCAATTTAACAGTTATTATCGATTACAAAATAATTTAAGTACGAGTATTTTGTAATTTCATAACCCTTTTAGGTTTTATATTGCTGTCTATAATATGTCTAAACTCATAAGCAATGGCTAGAATGTTCTATAATTTTTATCAATGAATATATTAATGTTATTTCATGATATTATTTAAACATCTTTAATCAATTATGATCTGAATCGTAATAAGTTTGACTAAATAAATGTTTGTTATAAAATTCGAATTTGGTAAGGACAGGTATTTCTTAAGCTGATTTTACCAAAATTTTAGATTATAGAAATGGGTAAATAACAACAAACGATAAACAATAAAAGTAAATAAAAAATCTTAGGCATATTTCGTATTACTCTAGGCAGCTTTTTTGAAATTTTGTTTCTATGACCCACGTGTTAAAAATTAAAATATTTTATTTATAAGTAAAATACTTGAGAATTAAGACTCTATGTTTCATTCATAAAAGAGAAGAATCCAATGTAAATGAGCTATTATTTTTTTTGGAAAACCTTTAGGTACAAAAATTACGACGCGGTCACACTCATTTTCTTCATCAAACAGTTAATTTATATAGGTATTTTTTGTTACTGTACGTAAATAAAACTATGGCTTACACTTACTTACACAAAAATAGTTTATTGCTTAATATCGATTTTTTTTTTAATTGTAGTCACAAGTTTCATTTTTTTTTCTGTCAAGAGATGATTTTGAATTCGATTATATGCGAATGAGAATGACCACATTTATTTATATTAAGTTGTTTTCGTTTAGGTATATGTAACACGATGTTTATTTGTGTTAAAAATTATTGTACTTCTACATGAAATACAGGGGTTCAATAAAAAGTCGAACTAAATTATATTACGTTCTTGCAGTAAAAAGGAACTTGGACATTATCAAAGAAGTAAAACGATAAATTAATGTCAACGCCATCTCTTGGCCGTTAAAACAAATGAAACTGTGAAAATGTACGGTCTCGTTGGTTTACGTGGGCGGGGCTCGAAGTATTACAGCTTCTCCCGGCAGTAGTGTAACCGGACCCAACGGTACTGTGTGTCTGGAAGATACAACATAGACAGGTACATATAGAGTTAAACGTGTTTTGCCGAAAGGGTAAAGGCAGGTCGGTTTTTGTTGGCAGAATATTATTAATGACTGGTCTCTGTAAGCGACTTCGGCTAAGTGAACTTCGACAACGGAACTCCTGGGGAACATTTTAGAGGGATAAGGATATTTTAGTATAGATACTACTAACGGTTAAATCGTTTTCAAAGTAACTCAAAAACCTATCTACACCTATGCAATTTAATTAATTATTAAAATTAGAAAAATAAATCATATCACTTTGTAAAGCATCTCTAGAGATATAATAAGTTGGAGAAAAAGTTTCTTCGCACCTTATACGAAAATTCAAAACATTGTTTAGTAAAGTTTATTTATATTTAACTAAAATATGTAGGTACCATTTTGTTCGATAACTTTTTGCCAACTTGTAGGTAGGGACATGATTCAAATGTTGTAGAAAACTTGGACTTCTGATCAAAAAACCGCGACTAGTGGTTTTTGCCGTCCTCGCGTGATGTTAACCTGACACTGCTTAAATAATTTTGAAGAGATCGAAACAGGTGAAAATCTGAAGGTGAAAGTTCAGGACTACAATGTGTATGCATTAATACCTCCCGGCCAAACACTTAATTTTTGCTGAGTCGCAAAAATGTGTGAGGTCTAGC